CATAGGTCTTGGAGACAGAAGAGTGTTTAAAAATATTAGAGAGCCTAGTATGCTTGATCTTGGAGAAGAAATAAGGGACACTTGCTATTAAAAATAGATGACGGCTGAGGACTACTCTGCCCGGGGTCACCAGACTGTGTGGAGAGGACCAGAGTAATAATATTTCTTTGATTTCAGCGCTTACTGCCTCTCTTATAGCATAAACAAAGCACCAACTTTTAAGAGGATGATATTATGTTTCTTAGATTCTAATTTGAATTTTCATCCGTAAAGTATGTTATTAAAATATCCTCTACCTGCAAAAGTAAAGCATATCACTGTTTTATCCTCCAAAGAGAGTCATTCTCCCACGCATACGGAACGCTAAAACATCTAGTAAAACGTTGTTTAAGAATCTTGCCGGCATAGAAGGAGGGCAAGCCTCCAGAGCAGCTTTTCTTTCTAGACTCATCTTGACTTTTAATAGCATGCTTTACCTGTAATGAAACCCGCTTTGCTTTCTATTTTAGGCAGCAGGAGGAAAGACATGACTAGTTCATTGGGATAAAAAAAGTGACTGTCAAACATAAGATATCATAAAAAGGAAAGGCATTGGTTTATTCTCCACAGTTTCATTAGAAATGTGTGGAGAACAGATATCTGTGCATCTCTGATTATTGTCACACTATCACAAAAGACTTCATGAATATTGCCATATAACCAGGACCCAGAGTGAAGAGAGAGCATTCAGAGACAAACACCACGAACAATTAAAGTAAAGCACCAGTAACCTAGAATTAAAGACCCTTATAATAGGATTCCCCTTTTCTTCACCTATTTCCCCAAATTATCTCTGCAGATTTTCCAGGAGCTAAGAAAACGGGCGAGTCAGAAAGCCTTAGATTACAATTCCGTATTTATTCCTGGCAATATGACTTTGACACTGATTCTGTGACGTACATATAGTTCTCATAGATTCTAATTCTCCCTAAGCTTCAACTTAATCTTTTTCAAGATAGGAATAATTATGACTTAGTTCATAGGTTTCTTTCCTGTTTTTTTTTTTTTT